CAACTAGCATCGTCGAGGCTAGCTAAACAAACATTGCACCAAAAAGCCGTTTTAAAACCGGAATCACAACGTGGACAAAAGCAACAGATTAAATACCTGAAGAAGGGCTGGTTCAACGCTAGCCTCCGAAGATATTACTTAATTCATCCATTTGAAAATAGCGTTATTTTTGTGTTAAAGGGCAACCCCGTTTTTTCCAATTGTCTTTTCTTCTCCCATCACCATTTCCACATTGCTCTTGTTGCTAAGGAACAGGAAATGTGCAGCAGAGAAATACTTCCCCCTCGAAATGTGACCAGAGGGGCTCAGCGTTAAAGTAACCCCACATTCAACTTAAATAGAAACATGTCTATCTCAGTGAAGTAAAGTAACTACATTTACGTACTTTACTTTAGTTATGTATTTAAATGTGTTGCTACTTTGTACTTCTACCCCACTACAATTCAGAGGTAAATCGTTTACATTTATTTATTACAATTTAGTTACTCTACAGATGTAATATTAAATAAGACTTTAGTTACACCTGGAGCAACTTCCACAAGCTAACATATACACAGTAATTAAATAAGCTGCAACTTGACTAGCTTTGATAAACATCAATAGTTATATTCTGAAAATAGGCTGATCTGCATTATCGCTTTTGGCATTTTAAGTACATGTTGATGCTAGTACTTTTACTTTTAATTAAGTACATCATCTTAGTACTCATTCCACCACTGATGCTGTTTTTTGTGAAACAGTTTAAGCTAATCTCAGTTCTTGACATCCAATGTAGGTTAGCCTACGTAGCTAAAACTGCCATTGACTTAATATATAAAAAAATAATCTGTGGCATTCATGTTTCCATTATGAAATGAAACCCAGTGGCTTCATTCTTTCTACCGTGAATTATCAAGGGGTTTCTGATACATTTATATGCCTTATCTTGATATTTATTTACCGTTAAACGCATTAAATTGTTACACACTTGGCTAGCTGAGAGCTTTCGTCATCATGGTCCTAGAGCCGTCCCCGCCCTGCAGACAGTCAATCCCCGAGACTCACAGTAAAAGCAGCCGTGTACCGAGACGCTTTTCTGGGCACTCGATCAGCTATTAATGCCCTGATCCAGGTAAGAAAGACATTTTATTTTTCTCAAGCACACACGATGCAAAAAAGTCGGCTTAATGTTAGCAAAATCCATCCCGCATAACCATGATGATGACGACACTGTGGAGAGAATTGCTGCAGCCGGTCCTAAAGCCAGCCATTTTGAGTGTGTTAAAGTCTTTAGCGAAAGAGAGCTAAGCGAACATGAATACGTACTTATCGTATCCGGTTGTTAACAACGTCGCACTGACTCGTGATCTTTGATCCTCTCGTGGGGTCGGGCACATGTCAGTCATGCAGACAGTGTGATCTGTGTCATTGCATCGCCGACTTCCTCTGGCATCAAAGCGGTTAGCTTATTGTCCCTGAGGTCCTAATGCCAGCCATTTTGTGATTAAATGCACACCCACATATTTCTGTTATTATGTTATTATTCGGATTATTTTATGGTCCCCTTTCACAGAAAATCAGCTATTATAAATCATATCTGTCATAGGAATGTGATGTCTATGGTACAATCACCTTATCCTCTTATGCTGCTAATGATCTGTTTATTTACATAACTAATACACATTTATTTCTCTGCAGTTATAAAGATGGCCTCTCCTCAGCCTGGCAGCCCCCCTCTTGCAGAGCAGCACACCCCTCCTGCACAGGACGAAGACAGCCAACAAGATGAAGAGCTGGTGAAAGATCAGCCTGAGAAAAAACGTGGCAGAGGCAGGCCTCCAAAATCCAAACCTTCCTTCAAATGCTCTGCGTGCACGGAGGCTTTCAGGAGTCTGTCGGCGCTGCGGAGCCACAAGCTTTCGGCACATGTAAAGGACGGCCAGCCGCAACACTCGTGCTCTCAGTGTACGAAAACATTCTCGAGCAAGGCTCAACTTTCAAAGCACGAGCGCACTCACTCGGCCCAGCGTCCCTTTCAGTGTCCCGACTGTCACAAGGCTTACAAGACTCCCACAGAGCTACGCAACCATAGCCGCTCTCACACTGGGGAGAAGCCATTCGTATGCACAGAGTGTGGTAAGGCCTTTATGCAAGCTATATGCCTGAGGATCCACATGACACAGCACAGCGGGGAGCGTCCTTACTCCTGCCGTCAGTGCTCAAAGAGCTACCCCACCCTGTCTAAATTGAAGGTGCATATGCGCTCTCACACAGGAGAAAAGCCATACTTCTGTGCTGAGTGTGGCAAGAGTTTCGCAGATCCCTCTGTGTTCCGAAAACACAGAAGGAACCACCAAGGCCATCGGCCGTACGCCTGTGATGAGTGCGGGAAAACGTACACAGAGCTGAAGGACCTGAAGAACCATGAGCGCTCGCACACTGGAGAGAAACCCTTCCTGTGCTCAGACTGTGGCAAAGCTTTCTCCCGCTCCTCCTCTCTGGCCTGCCATCAGCGCATCCACTCCCAGAACAAGCCCTATCAGTGTGAGCAGTGTGGCAAAGGCTTCACCCAGCTCTCCTCCTACCAGTCTCACCTCCGCACGCACTCTGGAGAGAAACCCTTCCTCTGCCCGCAGTGTGGCAAGATGTTTTCCGACCCCTCCAGTTTCCGGCGCCACCAACGGGCCCACCTGGGTTTCAAGCCGTACCCCTGCGATAAATGCACCAAGAGGTTCAGGCAGCCGGCTGATCTGGCCGTGCACGAGCGCGTCCACTCTGGAGAGCGTCCTTACAAATGCCAGAGCTGCGACAAGGCCTTCGTAGCGTCCTGGGATCTGCGGCGCCACATGCTCGTCCACACGGGGCTTCGGCCCTTTTCCTGCACAGAGTGTGACAAGTCATTTGCAGAGCGCTCCAGCCTCAACAAGCACCGGCGTGTGCACTCTGGGGAGAGGCCGTTTAAATGTGAGGAGTGTCTGAAGTCCTTTGTGGTTTCCTCCAGCCTGCGCAAACATGAGAGGACTCACCTAGCTGAGCATGCTGAGCAGCAACAACAACAACAACAACAAGAACAGCAACAAGAGACAGAGGCCGGGTCAGCGTCAGGCTTCACTGCCCACACAACTCTCCCTCAGTTCTCCTGCACTCACTGCGATGCTACGTTTGGCAGCTGGGAGGAAGTCCAGGCGCATGAGAATCTCCACTCAATTGATTCTACGCCGCCGACTGTTGCCAAAATCGTGCCAATGGGCTTGCACGTCTGTGAGAGCTGCCAGGCAGAGTTTGCACAGCTGGCAGATCTGCAGGAGCACGAGAAGCAGCATCCGAAGCCGAGACCTCACGTCTGCGACAGCTGCGGCAAAGGCTTCCTCAACAAATCTGGCCTGCGTAAACACCAGAAGATCCACTCCACCAGCAAGCCCCACAGCTGCCCGCACTGTGGCAAAGCGTTCCTGTTCGCTGCCTACCTTCGCAAGCACTTACGGACTCATGCAGACGCCCCCCCGGCCCCCACACAGCTCAGTGACATAAACATTATCCACACCGACCCGCTTCCTTCTCCTCCTCCTCCCAGTGAGGTTCCTTCCTCCACTGTGGAACCCAGCGCCATTTCCCTGACCGTTCCCGTGACCGTACCTGTGACGGCTTTACAGACTCTGCCGGAGTAGCTAGTCAAAGAAGAGGGCCATTACACTTTTATTTGACTGTTTAGGAATCTTTATTACATTCGTATTTATCCAGTGGCCTTCAATCTTTTTAGGTGACAGGTCTAATGAAGTGTTATTTCTCAAAAAACGTAAAAGGAAAAACTCAAATTAAAGTCTACTTCATGTAAATTGTCACAATTTTGCTTTGTCATGATATTGGAAATATGATTGTGTTTTAAAATATATATAATCCACTACTATGAAATTATCTAATCTGTTGTAATCTCTTCATAAATTGTGACAAACATGTATGCTGATCACTTAAGATGTGGTGATTTCAGGTAAATGTATTTTCTAATCCTTTTAAAGCCTCTGTTCAATTCTTTGAATTCACATGTTGAGTTGGAAAAAATAATTTGTAACTGTTTTACTTTGTAAATATCAAACTAATAATACAAGAATTGTCAAGTAAAAAAAAAAAAGTTGGTTTTTATACCAATTAAAAATGTGTAATGTGTACAAAGAAGTAATGTTTTAGTGGGTTTTCTTGACTTCCAAATGTGTCTATACCCGATGCATAAAGAGGAACATTTCTGGAAAGTTAAATCAACACATTCTGGTCTGAACCATACTGAAGACACTGACATTTCATGCACCTTTAAAGCAAAAGCGTAGTTTTCCATTAGCGGCTGCAGCTATAGAAGGTGAGCTCTTACTGCTACACTCTTTATTTCCATTAATGACACCTTAGGTACTTGGAAGTACATTAAGCAACACTTCAATCCATATGTGCAATCTGTCCATTTGCTGTGACATTTCTGAATGCTAAAATGAACATGCTTAATGCATCCGTGTTTCTTTAAAGCCTTCCTTTGTGTTCCTGCTCTGCGACCTACATCCCATCAATAAACGTATTTCACCATGCAGCGAAATTATAACATTTTGAGCCTTCATAAGATTCTGTTTGAACTTACAGAACATACTCAGATCCCGATAAAACAAAACATGTCTTAAGCTGTACAGTATAAACCAGATTGAAAGGGACATGATCTGTTATCACAATTTCAGAAGTAGTTTGTTTTTGCTTCCAAATACCTGAAACATGCATTAAAGAAAGTGCTCATTAATGGCCCATTTCAGAATCATGTATATCTATGTTATGTAATAATATTCAGTGATAAAATAATATTTACATGACTTCAATATTGTAGCCCAAAAGGTAGTGGAATAAGAAGTATAAAGAACCATACAATTGAAATACTTAATTGAAATAGAAGTATCCTAAACATGGTATTAAAGAACAGGACTTGAGTAAATGTATTTAGTTACATTTTACCGCTGTTAAGGCTAAGGCATCTGATCCTGTATGCTCTCCATTGCTCACTAACACTTTTTTATTGACCGTTTTTTTCTGATTTGAAATATATAAATTATATAAACACATGCTCACTATCTATCTTTGCATTGATGCCTTTTCTTAACCTTATTCAGAGCATATATTTAAACAACAATAATGTATGATTAAATGTTCTTTTGCTTTGCCAAGTCTGGTGCCAAAAACTACATTCATTACAATTACATTCTCATAATTAAATCTACACTAACTGTTGGAGGTTTATTAGTTGTGTGCTGTGTTTTTGCTGACATAGTGTCAGCTGCTGATCGTGTTTCTGAGTCAGGTTTTCCAGTGTTTTGGTTGGTGGTTAATTCACACCCATCAGCAGTTTTGAAGTAACGCTGAAAGAAATCTTTTGAAGTCTCACTCTGAGAAATGAGTCTCTTTATGACCGTGTTTTATGTTGATACGCTGTATTACATTATTTATATTGTGAAATATTCCAGGGATCTTCATTCAGCCAGATCAGTCAGTCAGAGTCAAACTGCAATCCTTTCCATTCATGACTTGAGTTGCTTCCAGCTAGAGGAAAGGTGGAGGCTGACTGTTGGCTAGAGTTTATGTTCATTCTTCTGCGAGATGGACTTCCTGTTGCTGTGCTTCATGGCGTAGAGAAGCGCTGCACCAGCGTCTGTTAGAGACTGGTGGGAGGAGAGTAAAGGGAGGAATTACCAGCAGAAGTTATGCAAAACCAGAAAAGTATTAAAGTAATAAACATGTACATTTACAAGGACATGAAAGGGATTACCTGTGTGTCGGAAACAACAGATTTTCTCTGGAAAAACAAAAGGATAAAGTTAAATTATGCAATTTTAACCAACATGAGACTTAAAACACTGTATAAACTCACCCTTGTGAAGTTATGTATGTTGTTGTATATAGGCTCCATGGTTTTAACCCATTCTTGGTATGTTTGATGGTCCTCTGCACTGCTATTGTGCTCTCTGCAAACAGACAAACTCACTTTAAGTACACAGTTTCTGCAGCCCAAAGAATACTGCATCTAATAAACAGCATGCATTCAAGTATACATTATATCATTAAATAACATGATGCAATACTTTATTACTGACCCACCCAGTTTATTGGGCAAGGATCAGAGACACACTGCCATTTTACTGCTGATATCATTTTGTCATTGAAAGCTTTAACAACAGTACATTGTTTTAACCAGTTTGAGGTAATAATAATGGTCTTTAATGAAGAGCAAGCTGATTTAGTTGCCTCTGTTTCAATTTCTGTAATCAAATTCAAGTGTCATAATGCCATCTAAATTCATAATTGATCATAGCATTTGATCCTTTCTTATTTTAATCACTTGCACTATTGGACTTGTGTTTATTTCTGTCTTTCTCTATGGGTGTATAGAACTGCATTAACCCTCATTAAATTCATCTATCAAGCATTAAGCAGCTCTTGCTCTACACGTTGGCCACACGTCAGAGTTTCCCACACCCCAACACCCCGGTCCTCACATGGCTCTCTCGATCAGCTTCCTCTGCAGCTCTCCTTCCCTCCTGGCGTCCAGGAAGCGTCCTCTGACAGCCAGAGCGGCGCTGGCCTGAGACGAGTTGAGCTGAACGATGGCCAGAGAGAGGGAGGACAGGGCGGCCGAGCTGAGGAGGAACACACACACTTTGTTATGAGAGTGCTTCTCAACATTTACCGCTGCAGCCTTCCCATTGTATTATGTACAAACACACACACACAGGGGCCACTTTGTATCAGCTCAGAATATGAATTGCACGACCTTCATGAGGAATATGAAGCAGGCAGACTGAGTGGAGAGGTTTACTGTGTGACTAAATGTTAGAACGGATACATGGTGAAATCATATCTGCATGATGTGAAGGCTCCTGTTTCTCAGCAACAGCCAGTCTGCTTTGCCTCAGGGTTTACTGAGATTGGAATAAAATAATACATCTAATCAAAATGGTTGTCCTCAGGGTGAAAACGCCTCGTTGATTAAAGATTTAAGAAGATAATGACTTGTTTAAGATTACAAGGAGTAGGCCGTAAGCATGCAGCTCATTGGTGTGATGTAATCTTAAACCCCAAAAGTAAGAGAAGCTCAGTTATTATGGAAACGTCTTCATCACCTGTCATCAGTAACCTCTCGGTCTGCAGTGATCACTCTGAGCATCGTCCGTCCTCTCCTCTGACGGTACCTGATCTGCAGCTGGATGGAAACATGGCTGCCAGAGGCCGGCGCCAACACTGGAGAGAAGCACACAAATACATTTAGAGTCCAGGGAAAAAACATTCTTAAAGGGTTTTTGGAGCACAGAGGAAAAACATGTGTATTTCCTGTGTTAGAATGAAAGTACACTTTGTCAAATACTGTAATTTTCACCCTAGACTTTCAATTGACACTTAACAAATAAGAAAAACACACGATATAATTAGATGATATGACCCAGTACTTTACTACTAATCTAGTTTTAAAGTTAGAATCCCAAATTGGTTCCACATTGACAAACCAAAATGCTCTTACATGTTTTTGTTAGTTTCAATAACAGAACAATCTTAAATAATATATCACTAGAGACATGGTCAGACATGGATTCAGATTTAGGGTCTGCAGTGAGACAATGTCATGAATGTCAATGTCAACACCCATTGACATACAAGTGGTTTCTCACCCTCTGTGTTCTGTTCGCTGGCTCCAAACTGGAAGGTGATCTCTGTGTCTGGATCCACGTTCCCCACCTCTCGGGTCACTTTGTGTCCGGCCTCCCTCTCTCCTCTCATGAGCCTGGAACAAGGGAGAACATCAGTCAATGCTTGGTAACAATTTAAACGGCATTCATGTGCAAAATAGACCACTTGTGAAGAATTTGGAAGTATTTTTATTGAAGGTAAATACAGTGCAGATCTTTTGGATACATTGATTTATTAATTTCACTATTCATTTGTTTTGCCATTACATTTCCCCCTCACTTCCTTGTCTAAATAAAGACCCTAACATTACAATAATAATACATATAATAATAATACAAAAATAATAATAATAAAAACGTAATATTAATAATATCAAATAACATCTAGTAGAGTAAAATAAAATAAAAATAAAATCGAATAAAATAAAAATAAAGTAAAATAAAGTAGAATACAAATAAAATACAATTAAATGTAATTATATAAAATCAAATAAATTCAGTGCAGATCTTACAGTGATTGTGGCAGCAGTAATGTGACGGTGCAGTGTGTAGCTATCGTCCTGTTCTCGATAATGTGTTCGAACTCTGAGTGCAGCTTGTTGGGGCTGGCTATCACCACCTAAGGGACAAAACACATAGATAGATAGATTAGCAAAATAGTACATTAAAAGAAAAATACTAGCACACATAAATCTGACTAATGTTGAAGCATCTTACTGTCCCTCCGGTGCGATCAGCCAGTCGGCCCAGCTCATCCAGCCGACAGTCTGTTCCCTCGATGGACAGCACAGACACGGTCACACTGGAGGACATCAGCGGGACATTCATTACAACAGTGTGTAAGGAGCACACACATCTGTCAACAGTCATCTTTACCACAGTTTATTATCTATTGTAAAACTTTTTGATGTGTACAGACCCCTGATTGGCAGCGTAGAGCCCCAGCTTCTGGTAGAAGATGGTGGATGAGAGGAGGGTGCAAGCGTCAAGATCCTCGACCTCCAGGTTCCCCAGCTCTGTGTTGGCCTTCCCATCTGTACAGATAATCACCTTCAAGATCAGCAGGGATAGCAGGTCAGGAATTAGTTGTTTTTAGATAAAAGACACAGACAAAGAAAAGAAAAGAAAAACATATTACCAGTCATGCATTTAATATATATTATTATTTCTAATACATTTATATATATATTTGCTGTTGTAGTTGGTTTCAGTGGAGGTGATTTTTAAAAGAACTGTATTAAAGCAATTTATTATTCATTACATTGCATTATGGATTATTCTGCTGATTATTTTTGAATTAACGGTTACAATTTTTATAAAAACTCTGACAAAAATACTACAGACAAACCTACAAATGAAAGAAAATAATAGTAATTAAATTACATTATAATCAAGTTAGATAATTAAAAGAAAAAATAGCAAATATTTGAAATATTTATTTGAACATTTGGCACCATGAAATATTATTGAATGAAAAATGACTGCAAAAAAACCTTAAACAGTTGCTCTTATTGTCAAACTCTTTATATGTTTTATGTGCAAAACTTTTATCTGTATATAGTAACTAGAAACTAAACCTGTTAGATAAATACACAGTATAGGGTCAGACTAGTACCAGACTGACCTTGGACCCCGGCTGTCTGGAGGCTATTGCGATGGAGAGGAGAGCAGCTGGACCCAGAGCCGTTGTCCCGCCTTCAGATAGTCTTTCAACAAGAGGAAAAACATACATTATATATTAAACAAAACAAGTGATTGTAACCTAATCAGTGCTTCTTTTTCTCTTTACCCCATAACTTGTTTCTGTAAGTATTCCCTGGTCTGAGAGAGAGGAGGAGGCGTGGGGAAACTGGCTGCAGCCTCTTTCAGGAAGTTGCTGTCAATCAACTCTGCATTGCTCAGAGAGTGTGACGTGAAAATCTCGTTTCCATGCATCGTCACCTGGTCACACAGACAGCAGGGGGGAAGGAAAGCAGCAGGGATGACTTGTGTTTATTTATACTTTAAATTTGAGGAGAATATTTAAATCTTGTGAGACCAGGATCACTTTTTCGTGCATGTACCTGATAGCTGAAGGTGATGAGTCCCACTCTCATGCCAGGCTGCTGTTCACTCAGTCTCTGAACACACTGCATTACGGCCTCCTGGACAATCTGGTTGAAAACAATGATTTCTTATCATCGCTGGCATCGAAACACAGATCTTTGTACAGCTGATATGGTGACTCTGCTGTGCATGTAGACCAGGGGTGTCAAACTCAAGGCCCGGGGGCCAAATTCGGCCCGTGACTTCATTTTCTGTGGCCCCACAAGAGCTTGCAAAGAATATAATATGTTTATTATAGGGTTACATGCCGATTTACAGAAGCACGTTGCCCATAAACTACATGTCCCACAATGCATCTCAAATGTGACTTTTTTCTCAGAATTTGACTTTTTTTCTTCAAAATATGCCTTTTTTCTTAGAATTTGCCTTTTTCTCCGAATCTTTATATATGTATTTTGATATAGTCTTATATATAAAACTGGCCCTTTGAGTGCAACCATGATGCTAATGTGGCCCGAGATGAAATTGAGTTTGACACCCCTGATGTAGACAAACAGCATATTTTTCCATTTCTTTAAGTCAAGTCATATGTGTTTCTTTGAGACCTTCACTTCTACCTTGGCCAACAGTTTGTTAAGTCTAACATTATGTTCATTTTGAGTCAAATTTTACAACAACACTTATAAATGGGATTAAAACTCACTTGAAGACGGGATTTGTGGACCACATTCTCTCCCTCTGACACCTTAAAGCAACAGAGATTGATGATTACAGCTGTTACAAATGGCCTCAACATTAATACCTCAGAGTCAGATGGTGTGGATTTACCTCGGCGGTGATGCTCATGGAGCCTGAGATGTCGATGCAAAGGAGCAGCAGAGGGTCAGCGGCACCCAGGGGCTTTTCATCAGGACAGAGAGAAAACAGGCCATCCCGGTGACCAGTTAGAGGGGAATGTGGCTCCCAAGACCCACAGAAGTAACAGTCCTTTACCTGAAAGAAAATATAATTTTTACAGAGAAATAACCAACATTAACTGAGACCTACGGAAGCCGTGAGAGGCAATTTTGGTCATCCAAGTTATATATAAATAGTTTTGTGTCCCGTGTTTATAATGTATGAACATTTGAAGACAAGTTTTTTTCTTGATATTATTTCTTTCTTAAAAAGATTGGAGAAAAAAAGTAAAGTAAGTTTCTATTGTTTCAAGTTGTTTGTTGGTTTCTCATTTAGGCCACGACATGTTTTGAATAAGACTAAAATCTATGTTTTCCAGCCAAAAGAATAACATGAAAGAACTAATACATAACTTTCTAACACACACTAAATGTACCATGTGTTTAGAGAAATTAAAACTCACTTGGAGGGAAACATAAATGCTTTTAGTACCATTTAAAACATCGTGTAGAGATGCACTTCAGCGTCTTGTGGCCGACATTAGTATTACAACAACAACAGCAAATTCACGTGCAAAAAGCTTTCTTTTCCCACTTTCTTTTACACATTTAAAAAAAAAAGAATGTTAAAAATGTAATCATCAGATTTGTTTTTCTTCTCATTTTTCTCTCAGGGCTTCCATAGCTAAGTCCTGCAGTCTGTATCAATACAAAAAAAAACAGTATCCATTGTTTCATTATGGTTTGATCAATAATGATTACGCTTGTTGTCACGCACAGTATTTGTGGTAATTACAAGGAGACATACAGTTATTATTCACATTTGAAATCAATGACTCTCAAGCTGCCACTTATCAATATCAGGATGAATATCGAGTGAAATACAGCATGTAGTCATTACGTTTTTATGGCCTGAGTCCAGCACAGAGCCACACTGTGAGCAGGAGGTGGGTTCCCCTTGTGTGATCTGCCCTGGAAATATGTCAAACATCAGTCATCATAAGCCAAATGGATTGAAAATCAAACTAGATTATTGATAAAAAAGATTTATGGTGATGATAAAAGTATACTGACCTCTTTCTTCAGAGAGTAATTTCCCTAAACTGACAAGAAGCACGTTAGGATTTCCCGAAAGAGGACTCTTATCTGCTGAGAAAAGAGCATTAAAATAATCATTGATGGTGTAAAAACATCATAAAGAGTCTTAATGTTTTGACACCAAGCGAGAGATAGTTTCAAGTACCTTTAGGTGATGGGATAAGCGGCGAGTCTGTTTTCTGAGGTGATGAGGGAGATGATTGAGAGGTGGGTAGCAGCACTAAGTACAACGGCATTGACTTCATGAACGAAGGCCTCGGAGGAAGTGGTGGGACTGATGTTTGAGAGCAGAATGAAACTGGGATTATCTGTCTGTACCTTAAAAATGAATACAAATAGACATATAAGTTGTCTGTTTACCTAGTGCCTTGGTTGACCCGTTGTTAGTATCAGTGGGCGGCTTCACCTCGCCCCCCGTGCCTTCAGGGGTGGTGTACGAGTAGTTTGGGTCCCAGAGACTTGAGTTTGAATCTGGCTCATCTTTCGGGAGGTCGTAGGTAAATGCCTGACTGTTAGTGCTGGAGGAGTCGAACGGCTGGCTGTACGGAGGGGAGTGTCTGGTGGATGATGGTTTCATGTGTGGTGGAAGAAGAGCTGAGTGCAGATAGGAGTGGTGTTAAAGAGGACATATTACCCGCATTTTCAGGTTTCATATTTGTATTTTGCGCCTCTACTGTGACATGTCTCCATGCTTTAATGTTCAAAAAGCTCTTTATTTTTCTCATACTGCCTGTGCTGCCGCACCTCTTTTCACCCTCTGCCTGAAACTAGAGTCCAGTCTGCTCTGATTGGTTAGCCTTCCGGCTCTGTTGGGATTGGTCATCCGTTAGAGATGTCCCGCCCCTTAGACTAAGTACATGTTAATGGTCTGCCTTGGCTAAAATCCCAAAGTTACCTCCGGAGGATGTTTATCTCCCACACACTCTTTGTGATATCAGAGAGTAACATTGGCGCTTCTATTGGCTAGCGCTCCAACACATTGTACGTGATTGGCTAATGGGCGGGACATCTCTAAGCAGAGCCGGCCAGCTAACCAATCAGAGCAGACTGGGCTCTGGTTTCAGACAGAGGGTGAAAAGAGGTGCTGCAGCACAGGCAGTATGAGAAAATAAAGAGCTTTTTGAACATTTAACCTTTTAAATATGTCATAGTAGAGGCACAAAATACAAATATGAACCTGAAAGTGAGCATGATAAGACATCTTTAAGATTATACCATACATTAACACAAATACTGCTGCATCCACAGTACCTGTTCTACGAGGAGGTGTTGGAGATGCTTCTGGTTTATTGTGAAATTCTTCATTTTCATAGAAAACAATAGACTTCACAGGCTTCTTCACATCCTTGATCTTTTCCAACTGCTCGATAACCTTTAGAAGAGGTCGGAGGGGTTTCGGTGATTTGGCTTCAGCAGAGTTTGTTGGAGGAGGAGGGGGAGGACTGCGAGGACGCATCCGGTTTACAGGAGGGAGAAGAGCTAAAAGGCATAAAAAACAAACGTATAGTGGCTGTTAATCTGAGAATAGCTTCTTGCAAGAGAAATGTGATCTCAGAGAAAACAACTGGTGGCAGCGATGACCTTTGTGCTGTGAAGAAAATGTGACTCAGGTGGCAGATGGCTTTTTCCGAGAAAAGCAAAGTATCTGAAAGGAATTTCTCCTTCTAAGGAAGACAGCAGAGGTTGTGTGTGTCAATGATTGCATAACACATACTTAACCAAACAAGCAGTCACTCAGCCGCTCGGATGAAAGGCAATGTCGTTATGAATTAGCAATAATGTTGTGATCATATATTGGATTTTACTTCTTTAATCTCTCTCTCAACGTGTTCAACAATTTTTCCAGAATAACTTTTAAATCCTGCAGAGAATGGGACTGACAGCAGGTGATGTGGTGATGATAGACGTAGAGACTGTACAGTAAAGCTTTGTGTCTCTTTGCTGAATTTTCTTCAAACTGGTGAGTCAACAGAGAAAGTATTTGAGTCTGAGACTGACGGTCCTGACAGCTGCCTCAATTCATAATCAACTTCCCCAGGCCGATGCATTTCTACTGTATGAAGCTTTACAGTCATTGCTATTCTGCACCTGTCCACCTGCTCACCTGTGTCTCTCTGTGACCACCCTGTCAGTTTTTAAAGCAGCCTCTTATCCAACAGTCAGATTGTTAACATTGCTTCTTGCCTTTGTTTCCAGTTTCTTCTACCTCAGCTAAAATCTCTACCTGTCTTTACCTTTTCCATGCTCCTTAAATGTAATCCTATGGATGTTCAGGTACATGGTTCATGGCTGAACTCCTCCAGCGCTACACCCCAGCCAGAGCTTTAAGGTCTGCTGACCAGCTGCTGCTGATAGTGCCCAAGACCAGGCTCAAAACCAGAGGGCACCGAGCCTTCGCAGCAGCTGGCCCTAGGCTCTGGAACACTCTGCCCCTCCATGTGAGGTCGGCCCAGACCCTAGGGGTTTTTAAATCCACTCTTAAAACACACTTCTTCTCCCTGGCCTTTTAGTCAGAGCGGAGCACGACTTCCTGACTTTTCCCTGTGTTTTTTTTTTTATATATCTGTTGTAATTTATTGTCTTTTATTGTGATTGTAGTAATGTGTTTTTATGATTGTAGTATTTATTACATGTACAGCACTTTGGCCGACCAAAAATCGCTTTTAAATGTGCTTTATAAATAAACTTTGATTTGATTTGATTTGATGGTTTCTTTGCTTGTAAGTGTATGTATCATCTACTAATAAAACCCTTAAACTGATCATGTCTGCCTGTTTGGTATCCTTTTTCTGTCTGACTTCTACGCCACAACTACTTAGTGGCCATAGAGAGATAACATAAATAAATCAAGGCCACCATTTTTTGAAGTTTGCACACAAGATCCCTATAAATGTTGTAGATAACACTAACATCTGTTGATTCTTTAGATACTCCACTGGTACTGCATTGAACATATCTGTGCCTAGTGATCTTTGGAATTTAGACAAATAAACTGTAAAATGGACCCAGAGATTTGACATATGTGGTTTTAAACAAAAATGAGTGTTTTACATTTTGATGGCTGTTTTAAAGAAATCCCACCTGAGCGGTTGATGACATTGGATTGTTGGCCGTTCTTCTGACTCACTGCTGGCGGCACATAAACAAATCCACAAGAAAATTCCATTGTGATACTACCTACCTGTAAGAGAAAGGACATTAGGTGACACCTTATGACACATTAAACGGTAATACATTAAAGTCTTAACACATGTCTTAACACATCCTGTAAAAATAAGCTCATTTAAGACATACTTACACATGCAGAGTCCTTTAAATGCTGTCAGTACAGTACAACCGTAAACATGAAACCTTCCCAGGTCTCAGAAATGTTTCAAAGACTGTGTGACGGTTTGTCATCTCCCACTTTGTGTCACAGACATGTCGTCCAACAGGTTCCTTTCCTTAAGAGTCTGCTGTAATACCACTCTGTACTGTGTACAAAGCTGAGAGGTTGGCTGGTTAGTCAGAGATTTATGGTGTATTGCCTAACATTAGTTAAACATTTAATGAATGTAAATATAAATGGGTGGAAGATTAAAAGCTGATTTGTGAAACAGTGCAGTAAAATGTGAAAGGTCAAGATGATTAATGTCCCCGTAAAAGTAAAAGAATATCCTACACTGACTGTTCTGTAAAATTGTTTCATGAACACATACAGTATCTTGCTAGTTTTATGTTTGTGGTAAATCATTAATGTTCCTATTTATGTAAAATATGAGAGTATTCATGGTAACATTTAAAATCACATTAGATAATGGCTGTATATTTATATGTTTTCATTAAAGTATGGCCAATCCCAGGACTTCTGTGTAGGACATGAGGCTAGAAAAAAAAATATCTAAATGGAAAAGCACATTTTAAACCACTTTATATAGTTTCTGTTTGCTGTATTAATGTATGTTCTAGGCTTCTGTTTGGTTAATCTAATTACATGTATATATGTAGCCTATTGTAAAATAAGTGACTGCAAATAAATAACAAACGCAACATTTATATAATTGAAATATTTGTAATTTATTTGAAAAGGATGGTACATATTCACACATTTCATGGCTTCTTATCTCTTGGTTTTTGCCTCAAAATATAAGAAATGAACAATATTGAGTCTACAGGTTTGATAGCGCCTCTGTGAGGCTGCAATAAGGCACAGCGGTGCTTTGAGCTACATGCTAACATCAGCATGCTAACAGGCACACACTGCCAATGCTAGCAAGGAGGTGATTAGCAGATACAATATTTACCATCTTCACCATCTTAGATAAGCATATTAGCATGCTAACATGTAACTAACTTTGACCTGTTTGGAGAGATTCGTTTAAAAGTCAAGAGATCACAAGTGTCACTATGGGTTCATCCTCATTGCACTTTGAATGACTGTTACAAATATATTATCAATTCATTTGATAGTTGCTGAGATTATCCAGTCCATATGAACATTCTGGACCAACCAATCGACATAACATTGCCATCCATAGACACACACATAGCTAGCATCATAACGACAAAAAATTGCCGAACAAAATTGAATTAGAGGCTAAACCATTACACTTTTATTTTGAAAATCCATTCCCTCAGTCAATGTCTATGTGCCTCTATAATACTTTTGATAAGTAAACATTAACCTTGTGTGCTCCCATCGTTGTAAACCTGGGCAAACCTCATGTATCATTATCAGCTCTCCTCAAATAAAGTGAGCAAATAAATATTCTCTCTGTTGTTTCTTTTAAACATACACACATGCATGCAAACACACGTGCACACTCACACATATACACATACAGCTCCTGCACAAGCAGTACATTTAGTCTTTAATAAGTTAATTCATATTGTAGAAGTACTCAAGGTTAGAATATATATTAAGGCCTCAATAATTTTACATTTTAAAAATACCTGGGAACAGATTACTGTATATCTGACTTTAACTCAGAATCAGTGTGACAAAGATATAACATAATAACAACTGTTATTTGATAGAAGACTTCAAATCTAACTGTTTGTGAGAGTTTAGAACATAGTTTATTATACAGTGAGACGTCACTCTGCGACTTCCACGTAGTTTGCCGGGTAGAAGCCCTCCTTCCCTCCGCTCAGGACGCCTCGACACCAGCCCTGGTCGTCCTCCTCCTCCACCTTCAGGAACACCTCGCCTGGGAGCGCAGAAAATGAAAGTCCTTTAATCAATCTGATAAAAATAATACATGATTATAATAAAGAGTTAGTTATGCATGTCATGAAACACATTACTTTTATTTCCAACAATATCTAAATCTATAGCCTCATTTCAACCAGGTTAAAATCCTGTGTTGTATCGCAGTGGTCTGCCTGAAGCTAGTTTTTAGCACCATTTGAACAAAACACTGACTTTTTGTATGTCTGTATTAAAACCTATTACTATTCAACTAAAGCAACAAAAGCCTTGGTTAAACCATTGCGAACATGCCATAAGATGTTTTTACTATGAAGTAAACATTGTCAAATTTCTTCTAAAGCACATGTGTTAGATTTAATTGACTGTTGCTGTTCTCTATGCTGTTCTACACAGTTGGTTGTCTGGCTGCAAAATGCCTTGTAAATGTATAGTCTCCATTCATGTTAAGATTTTGACGTTTTATTTAACACAAGTATTCCAAGTATCTCCCTTCAAGCACATTTTGAGTCCATCTTTTCATCTGTGCAGGACTTGTAATGATATTTAAAGGGGACCTATCATGCAAAATGCACTTTTGTACGTCTTTTATACATGAATATGTGTCCCCGGTGTTCCAGGGAACTCACCAAGTGTCAGAAAACACAACCATCTCTATTTTCCTCCATACCCAAATCTCTAAAAAAGGGGCTGCAACGGATCTGATAAAAACTGATCCAGATTTGAACACTGTCCTGACGTCAGGAAATGAGGCATGGCTAAAATGCATGATCTGTTTGGTATTTTGAAAAACAAAAAGTATAAATATGCCTTATATAGGTATGGTCCTACACTATATTATTATAATATAGCATGATAGGTCCACTTTAATCCACAAAGCAGATGTTAAAAGTTGTTTAAATGTACTCTCAGTGCTGAATAAAATATCTTCTTAAAATCCCAAACTATGATACAAGAGTGCAGAAATTGGAAAAGAGGTGGCTTTAAAAGAAACACATTTGAACTGAAATACCCATAAATCCTGTTATGTAACATCAGTTAAGTGTCTGGCATCATTTTAGAGAAACTTGGATGCATTTCTCTGCATTTCTCAGATTTATACTGATACAATGGTTGTACTTGTGTAAAACAACCTTGCCTATTGTAGCTTTAAAAACACGGAATAACACTGCTGTTGTATACATTTGTGTCCCAACATCACACTCTATGTGTCACCTGCTTTAAAGGACAGCTCATCGCCCTCCTCTCCCACGTAGTCGTACATAGCTCGCACCTTCACTCCCCCGATCATCACACTAACAAGAGAAGATATGGGCGTTAGAACAGTTAGAAAGTCATAATTATAACTTGAAAAAAAATGTATATTGTTCTTCAAGAAAGAGTTATGAATAAAAAGTTGAATGACTTACGGTCGGCCGTCTTTTCTTTGCTGCTCTCTTTTCTTTCTATTTAGCTTTTTTATTGGTGGCACCCATTCCTGATGGAAGAAATACAAGTGGCAGATATTAGGAGCAACAAGTCTACAGTAATAGCATCGCAACATAATGCAAATATCCACACATAAAAGGGTCTTAGTTAATATGGGGTTTAGACATATTGCAAGAAAAACACTGCTATAACAAGACATGCACAAACAAATAACACAACGCAAGTCGTTTGCAGACCAGTCTGTATTTTCCCTCCAACATTTACCGCTCATAAATAAATATGACCTCCCATTTTGTCAATCACATTTATTCAACTGACTCTGAAACTTTTGTCCATTTTAAACGTTTTTTCTGAGCAGGTTCGATTATCCTTGTTTTCTCTTGACCCCTCAGAGCCACCGTACATCAGGTAGTCATCCAAAATTCAGAAACTGATTTACTTCGTCTCCAAATTCAACAAATGAAAGGATAAAGAAATGCAGGAGTTAAAGATTTGGCAGGTGATTGCAGAACAGCTTGGAAACAGTGATACAAGTCACTGATCAGAAAAACAAAGGATGCACAAAGCATTACAAAGTATTGATTGTGCTTTAAGCAGATGAATAATGGCTTCTTGCTATTAGACCTGTTTAGGACTTGCATTATCTATTGCCCCCAAATCATAAGTCTTGAAATGTGATTCAACAAATCCAATGATAACCTGAATCGGACTCAGTGTGCAATTCTTATTGTTTGACAGATTTAAAAAACGCATATGAAAAAAATACACATGCATGTATTGTTTATGTATTGGAGGTAAACGTTGTAGCTTACATCTATCTTTGGCCAGTCGGTGGGCATGCCGGGTCCGTTGTTGTTCTTCCACCATTTGAGATCATCCAGCTCATTGATGGACATCAGAGTGTTGTGGAGCTCGCTGTACACCGCCTTCACACTGAAACACACACACAATACATGTGAGAGGCTGAACTCTCTCCCCTCCCTCCCCCCTCTCCCCCCTGCCCCCACTGGACCTAACACCCCACACACACTCAGACACACAAATCCAGCACCAGATACTTTTTACGCTGCTATGGACAGTCTTGCACGAATGTATCAAAGATATTGAAGTGACTGTTATTTTGTATATATTGATTGTTGTGCTTTTATTATGTCTTAATGTGTGCATATGTATAAATGTGTCTGTTGATTGTGTATATATAGGTATATACATATTTGTGTACATATTTGTATATCTATTTGTTTTTGTATTCGGGATTGTGGGAAGCGGTATTTCCATCTCTCTGTCTGTACCACACAAACTAAAAGATTGACAATAAAGTTGACTTTGACTTGACTAAATCAACATACATTTTCAAAACTCTTGCCAAGACTTCCGATGGCTGCTCACCTCTCATTGTTGGTGATGTCCAGATGTCTGTGGATTGAGAGGAAGGCCTGCTTCAGAAAGCTGATCCTCTTCCTCTCCTCCTCCTGCGACTGCTCGAATATGGCCTCCATCTCCTCCATGTAGCGAGGTGTGTAGGACGTCACATCCTCCAGCAGTTTCTCGTAGCGTTCTCGAACCTGCAGAACATTTTTATGATTAAAAAGTTGGTACGCTCCAACAGGAAGGACATGTATTTCTTTAATGAGGGCGATCTAGCTTGCATTAATCATCTGGAGCTATTTACCGTTCCCATGCTAGTCTCCATAAACACTGAGCAGAGTAACAATAACACATCTCCATACAAGGGAACAGCTTGGAAGAGAAGCTTAAGGCTGGGGCTTGTGTTTAGAGTTGATATCACCACAGCAGCAGGCCAACAAGAC